GGTTTTTCGAGAAGTTGTTGATCGTGTAGTTACCAAAGAGTCTTTCGTCTTTGTGTAAGTGTTATTGAAGCGTTTGGCCTTGTAGATTGTATATCAGTATACCCTTCCAGGCTCTGAAGAAGGCCATACTGCCGAAACGTCAGCTAGCGTTGTATTGTATTGTGTTTTTATGGAAGTAAATGTATGCTGTTTAAAAACCTCGCGATTGCTGAACAAGAAAACGACACATTTATATTCTTGTTGTTTTTGAAGAGCGGTGAACTAGCAGGAAATCCAGGTAATGTTTGAAAATTCTTTTCGACTATCTAACTTCTTTTCCAGGTCAACAAAGCCAAGGGAGGAGGATACGAGGAGTCGTATGAGGAATGTGCGCTTCTATTTCTCAACATCCACAACATTCACGTAGTTCGTGAATCGTGAGTTAGATTTCATTCAATTCGATGATATCACACATTTCTGATTTTTTCCTCCAGCTGCTTCCTTCATGTTATTTTGTCCTCGTTTAGGCTGAGAAAGCTGAAGGACTGTTTATTTCCTCGGGTGGACGAGAAGAATTATTTCAAGCTTGTAGACGAGTCGAAATGGCTGAACCATATTCAGTCAATCATTGAGGGTGCGGCCCAAATTGTGACTGAAGTTGAGCGAAATCGAAACTCTGTTCTTGTGCATTGTTCTGACGGTTGGGATCGTACTGCTCAGGTATGTTAAAGCTGATGATTGGAGGAATGGCTGGATCGATCATGATGATCGATGTCGATGATCATGATGCGTTCGCTGTGAGTGTTGAGGTTTGAGAACTATAAACGCGGAATCATAGATGATCGTTTACTTACTTGGTTACTTGGATTACCCGCCTTCACCAGTTGTGTGGGCCGCAGCACAACTCTGTTCTTCGGAGGTTTGCTAATTTAGCCATTGTGGTTCCCTGGAGTCCGTCCCGAGGGCAGCCTCACCAAACCGCTCCAGGTCGTCACCACCACATGCAGTCGTAGCCCTTGTGAACCAGAGAGAGAGATTTGCCACCATGCGTCTAGTTTGATACCAAGACTGTGGTGGATCGTGGTATTGGTGTACTCTTAGCTGAGCTTCTTGATTGAAACGCCGGACTCCTCCTCAGCCTGGTAGACCCTGCCGCGGGGACGGATCCCCCTCTGTACATCGCAGTCCTACACCCAGGAATACCTCCCAGCCACGATGAGGCGGTAAGCCGTTGGCAGGGGATGATCGTTTACAGCGACTATTTCTACCGTAGTTGATGTGTTTTTTTTTGTGCAACCTTCACCGTGACTTTTTGAGTAAGACAGTTGAGGTAAAAGTACAATGTTTAATGGGTGGATTACGATCGATTTCTTTCGAGTAATACATTGCTTTAGTTGACCTCTTTGGCAATGGTTCAATTGGATCCGTATTATCGAACTATCAAAGGTTTTGCCGTATTGATCGAAAAAGAATGGTGCAGTTTTGGGCACAAATTCGCTCATCGGATAGGTACCAACTTTTTTTTTCTTTTTATCGTTTCTCGTTTTAGTTACCTATTATTTTCATGGCACATTGTATTAGGTCACGGAGAAGACAAAGCATCCGATGGTGAGCGTTCTCCGGTTTTTGTACAGTTCATCGACTGCGTATGGCAACTTTTACAGCAGGTTGATAGAGAAGAGCACACGTTATTGTTCACATTGTGTTTCTTCTGTTGCTATTTTCTTGTTCCATTTCTTCTAGCACGAGTGTCATTTCGAGTTCAACTCGTTTTTACTGGTGACAATACTTGATGAGTTATATGCGTGCAGGTTCGGGACATTTTTGTTCAACAGCGAGAAACAACGTTTGGTTGAAAATGTAAGGACTTTTTGAAGTGGTAGTTAAGGAGCTGATTGGTAAATTGATTTTTAGAAGTGCGCGAAGAACACGGTGTCTTTGTGGACGTACATACTCGAAAATAAAACGTCTTTCTTAAATCCTTTGTACAATAAAGGTAGGCTGAGGTTTAGTTGTTGGTAAGGTTGCTTAACATGATGTCAGAATTTAAACAGGAGACCAGCGTACTGTCCTCATTATGAACTCGTCAATGCGTGTGCTTCAAATATGGAAAGAGTATTATGCAAGACATAACCCACTTGTCATTGCACCAGGTTCACTGGTCAGTGTTTGTTGGCGGTTTTTTTTTCAGAGAATAGGAACGGATTTGACTCGAAGTTCGTCAGTGGGGTTACATGTATCTATTCAGGCGGCAAAACGCTATGCTCTTGAACGAGCGTGCGGAAAACGGGCTTTGCTCGAAGAGTTAGTGAATATGTCACAAGTGTAGGCATCGAGTGACGACAGGTGCTGTGATGATGAATCTCCTGTTCAACGATGAAAGCCTACAAAAGCTACAAAGTGTAGGCAACTGTTTCATTTAGAACACCCGTCTTGGCCCTTCTGAAGAATCTCTTCTCCATATAGCGAATTTCGCATTGTTATGTAATCTATATTGTTCCGTTAAAGAGAAAACGGTGCTGAATAAAATTACCATGTTTTCTGTCCGGAGGATTCATTGCCTTCAAGCCTAAAAACAACATGGTTTCACCCATGAAGGTTCAACGTGTACTTGAATAACAAATATTATGTTCTGAGTAAGTAGTACGGCATACTGTTGAGTTGAGTTGTACTCAAACATGGTTCTAATCTGTTGAGGTACTTAGTGCGTGTCTAGTTGAAGTTTAAGAAAATTCGGTGTGACATCGTGTGCGTTTTGGTCTGGATGTTCAAAGCAGTTGTAAGGATATACATAGATGAAGATTTTGTAGAAGTCACTAAAATGTATCAGTATAATGTAGCAAGAAGTTCTAGTGCAGAGTTGTTTATAAATGCAGATTAAATTGAGTTTCAAAAGAATGGTGAATGCCATGAGGAATTAATGTGTCCCGCGGTATCATGCTTTCTTGGTGTCCGTGTTGAAGATGCGAAGTTATTGATACATTTATTTTTCTTTTATTTGACCCGTTTTCACGTCTGCTGTGCGGATCGCAGCACTTCTCACATTCCATCCGTTTCCTCGTATCCATTGCACGCGAAGATCTTCCAGCTTTACGTGTGGTTTCGGTTGCTGCTTGAGGATTATCATTTCGTCTTGAATGTCATGTGAATGACTACTCGAACAATTCTCTCCAGTGTCCTGGAATAGCCGGGTCGGAGCGGAATCGAACTAGAAACAAGCTCGTGATGACGGGCATGCCTACCACTGTGCTATCCGCTCTCTACTGCCACATTAGGTTCCATAAATTCATCACTAAGATTGTTTTCACGAATTTCCAAAATTTTCTTTCTTTTTGATGAGCAGGTAATATGATGTGATGTGGTGTTTCTGAAATTTATCCTGGAGCAGTAAGTTTTCTCTAACATCCTTATCTGGTACTATCGTGTTCAGTTCTAGTGCACAGAGAAGTCGTCATGAATTTTGAAAAACACAAAGTGCGCTAAGGCGCTGACTTCATTTCGGATTTTTCCAAACTACTTAGATCATTAATGGTAGTTACTTATTCTATTTTTCAATCTTTTCATATATCGTGTTCGTACTTGTCATGACTTCTGATAGTTGTTTAAATTTGATTTGTCGAAAAAGTTTGGAAATAATGCTGGCAAACATATCCTTGAATAATGTCAATGTCCACGCCTCGCTTATGGCTTTTGGATAGTCTTCTTTTACAGCTCACCATATGTTTTCCTGGACACTTTTTGGTGTCACGGATTGGCGAAAGGATTATAGTGCCTAGAAAGTCGGATGAATTCACCGTATAAGCGACAGTAGTGTTGCTATGAAGCGCGAATATTGTCGATCAAATATCCCGTCTTTTTTTTTCATATGGGAAGATTGCTTTATTATTTCTCTCCACTACTGCCCTTTGATCACTCGCATCATATTTTTGGGAGTTCTGTGACATGAATTTGATTGCTCGATTGCCGGTATTCAGTACATAGCAACTGGGGTTCGACATTAGTTAATCTCCACCCACACGACGCGAAAATGACGCTCGGTTTCAACCTCATATTGCGAAGGATGGGGGTGGCTCGGAGTCTTCGGTTTGTTGTCGAACCAGCGCCGTACTTATGATAAACGGCTACCACTCTATTACCCGATGACTGTTTGCAGTTTTAAAACTATAGATCTGATTTTCATATCTTTTGAAAATTCCTATTCTAAACAAATTCAATCAAGTAATAGTTCTAAGGAACCATATTTACTGTCATATGGAGCAAAGTCTATTCTATAAACCGATCACGTTTCCAACTTATTACGTTTTCTAGTTATCGAGAAATTGCAGTTTGTTTGCAAAACACCTGCGTTTCTCCGTGAGTGTTAAACTGCGGGTTGTCATAACCAAAATCCGATGCCCTCATTGAGACAGAGCTCGGTATTCTCATTCAAAACTTTTGCTAGAAATAATCCTCAGCCAAGTGCGTTACCGTATCGAAAGGCACTTAGTGGCAGCCCATAGGCGTAATTGTGCGGCAAACTTTGGAAATGGATATGTCATCTCTTTTGTACGAAGAAAGTAGCAACAAACAGACTCTACTGTTCCAAGTAGAAGAACTTCTCGACATCCTTTTTAACCTTGTCAACTAAAAATACGCGTATCTTGATAATAAGTTTCGGAATCATGGTGCGATTCATCGTCATAAAGACATTGCCGATCGAGAAGAATTTGTTACCATTTAAAATATGAATTGATTCTTAACACTTGAGTGTTCTGTGTTTGTGATAAATCATGTTAGTTCCAAACACACTTGATTTGAAGAGCATGTTAGTTAACCAAAGTTTGTTTTTTGTTGGAGTTCCAGAAGCAGTTCTAGTCCATTTTTACGTCGTCAGCACACTAAGTCATTTCCTTTTATGGATTGCATATAGCAATGGTACTGGAAGAAGTGTACAGCCAATTGGAGGTTGTAGTTGCGTTCCAGCTACCCCAATCCTTAAAAATGGGTAGTCAAGTCTTAAAATAGGCCGAAAACTAATATGGAAATTGCGATTTAAGGAGATTAACAATGTAGGTGGTTTGTGTAAAAAAAAACTCTTGGCGTTGGTCAATCTCTGAGGGAAACACCATGCGTTCAACTTCCTTGAGTTTCGTTAGAGGTTGATAAATTCACTCAAGTATTAAGTATGAAATGCATATCCGAGGTTCACAATGACCCACGGTAGCTCACCGATGCATCGCGTCACTGGTACCATTCTCCCAGGCAAGTCTGGTACTAGTTTGCCGACTCGCAGGGAATAGCAGAACGCACTATTGTCTTTTCCGAGGAGTAACGCGTTCACCACCACACCATGCGGGTCCTTCGTTTCGCCTGTCAGCTAGTTCTATCGATCTTTTGCAAACAGCAATCACCTGTCAGTGGGATTGATCTGGGGAGCCCAAATCGGCAACGAACCCAGTTAAGCTGAAGCTGACGTGACGAAACGAAAGGAACGCATGGTGTGGTAGTTAATGCGTCACTCCCCGGAAAGGACAATAGTGAGTTCCTTCCCCACCACCGCACACACCTACGCTCCGGAGTTTTGCAAATATCTCAGCTTCATTGCAGTGTGCAGTTTTTGAACAATTTGGCGTTTATTTCTATTCTTTCTACTTCTGTTCTGCAAACACGAGGTGCTATTTTATTTTTTTATTTACGTACAAGCTGATGTATGAGTGAGTGAGTGTGCGGAGCTGTGTGAAATGTGATTGAAATCTTGGTTTAGCGTTTTCTCTGTTTGGTTATGGAGGTGTTTGGCTGAATAGATTGCTGTCAACTTGACCTTTCCAGGCTCTGAGGGAGGTGAAATCCGCCGAAACGTCAGCTTGTATGTAAATAAAGACATATGAAGCAGTTTCTATAATTCAGCGGGAAAGAGCTCTATGTAGCGAATAATTGGATTGGGAGAGTGATGAGCGCACAGTACGCAAAACCGAAGCTATTTTTGTCTATGTAAATGGAGAAATGGGGAACTGAATTTTGCAAAATTAACTAAGAAAGCAAAGGGCGGTTAGCACAGTGGTAGTGATGTCCGTCATCACGGGCATGGTGCTAGTTCCATTATGCTCCGGATCAACTAACCCGCTCATCCCTCAAGGCTCGGGATATTAGTGCCCTACTTCTCTGGGAAAAAACCACTCTCTGCGATTCGGTTGGGAACGCTCCAGCCCGGCTATATCGGGACTTCAGGGCGAATTGCTCGACCAGCATTTTACGACATTCAAGATGAAATGGAAATCTTCAAGCAGTAACCGAAGCCACACGTAAAGTTGGAAGGTCTTCGTGGACGATAGATGCGAGGAAACGAATCGGATATGAGAAGTGCTGGGATCCGCACAGTAGACGTGAAGACGGATCAAATAAATTAACTAGGAAGGCAATCAGGTGAAGAATTTAACAACGGTGCCTGAGCTTATAGAATGATAAATATTAAAGCTGCTAATATTCCTTCTGTTATGTTAGTACATTGGAACTTCAGTTCTCTAACTCATACAATCAGATAAAATGTAATGGAATGCCATGTTGCATATAAGCTCGAAATTTGGCCACGAGTAATCCAGAGGCTGTACATTAGATAGGATATGTTGTTTATACAGAAAGTACATTAGATAATGTTGTTTTGACTTTTGTACGTTGTTTTCCGCAATCCATATGGCACCGATTTTATAACACATCAGAGAGGACGGAAACTGTATACACTGAGCTTGGCAGTTGCAAGAGCTATGGCTTAGATAGAGAATGTTTTGCGTGCTGCAGAGAATATTCCTCACCACAGCCATCCAGTGCCTATTACGGTTTTAAGGAGATTTTGATAAATTGTGAATAGATTGCTACCAGGCCGAACTCGCTTCAGTGACTTATTCCTAGACAGACAAAATGCGAATCTCGAACTCATTACGAGCTTTGCTGAGCTGATCAATAAAACCACTGTTATACATCGCAGTTGGAAACCCAGAGTGGTGCTACCGCTAGACTGCAATCCACTGAGGTAATAGATGTGCCAGAGAGCATCATCAAACAACGTACGTTTTCAACTATTTGCTCCAAATCGTTGGTTTTTATCGTCATCCACATTACAAAGGTTGAAGCCATGGATGGGATCATTTGTGTCTTGATTAGGTATAAGGAAATTCACAAACTTTAAACATCAACAATGGTGTTTGACAGGACGACAGAAAGCCACACATCTAGCTTTCTTACTGAACATTCCTTCCTGCGTTCTATCATGCAGCAGAGGTGTTAGGATTTCAAGCACATCCCAAGATGATACGTCTTCTCATCTACAAGAATTTTTCTACACACACGTCTTCATATCTACAGTGCGGATCCCAGCATTTCTTGTATTCGATTCGTCTGCTCTCAATTTTACGTTTACTCACACCTACTTCGTTTACTGCATAAGCAACAAAGCTCCGTGAAGTATCCGCATGTTGGTTTTATTGCTGCTTGAGGGTTTTCATCTTTGTACTGAATTTCGTTGAATGCTTGTCTAGTCGATTCTTACTGGAATATGGGGATCGGATGTTCTCATGCGGTCTACTGGGAGTTAGCGAGTACTTGGCAAGTCTGATAACAATTCCCAACCTGCAAAGGCTGGAAGGATCAGTGCGTCCGGTGCGGGATGGAACTATCACCGCGCTCTTCATTAACCGTATCACAACCTCTACATCACCCGCCCCATATTTTTATATTTATCTCTCCATAAATAAAAATCCATGATTTGAAACTTTATTCAAATTACATGGCGAGTACTTCCACTGTTGTAATATTTGGTTTAAAAATATTTATAAGGCTAAGAGAAAATGAAGAGTTAGATACATATGAATTTATTTCTATAGTCCAATGGGAATGTAATCAAATTTATTGCCTACGTCTTTATGTATCGCTATCAAGTGGTCTCCTGAAAATAAAGTAAGGGATGTTTCGTGCAATTTTTGTCGCGGTTTAAAGTAATGAATGAATCTAACAATAGACAGTGCTATTTATGGCAACAGTGATGTAATGTCGGTTTATTTAAAAAATGTGAATTTTTCACCTTCACCATCGATGGCAACAGACTCGTCAACTGTGTTCTTGGTGGCCTGTATAACGCGATTCCTGTTGAGATGGTCCTGGAAGTATTGATATTTTCACCTTTTTTTTAACACTGTCAATAAAAGATCGCAGCAGTAGTTTTCAAGTGGATTATTCCACCATATTCCTATTTACCATATTAGGATTTACCATATATTTACCATATTTCCGACGGACTTCTATGATTCTAACTGTTGTCTGCTTGAGCTCTGTGTTGTAGAATTTATGACAAAATCCTCTTTGTTTAAGTGCTCCAACTTTTTAACATTTCGGTACGCGTGACGTGGATCTTTGTGAAAACTTGCAATACGTAGCTTTTCATCTACGTAAGAGTTTTTCACAAATATAGAATTATTTTTGGAACATCTTATTATGTGGGCTGCAAGAACGATGTCTGTATAAACCTTCCTCGAATGAATACCGCTGTGATGGCACTGGTGCTCTTGTTTTGTTCATGCTTTCAATCCGAACTCGTTCTTCAGAGAGAAGAAGCCTGATTTTCTCCGTGGGTGACTACGAAAGTGATGCCGAGATTATGTAACAGATTTAAAGAAAATGAATTCTGGTCGAGTTGGAACCTGTGTTTAACGTTATTACGTGATTCCGGTGTGTGACGATTGCTTTTCTTCTTCTTCAAAGAAGAAGTTCCATGAAATAAACGCATTCTGGACGGAAACCGAACAACATGGCTTCTATATTAATGTCCATTTCATGTTGAGAAATTTCCTACTTTATTTTCACGTTTACTACCCTTTCCATTATCTGGTGTTGAAATCACCATTAACAAATTTAGAAAAAAATTTCTATTGGGTCCCACTTTGTTCTCCAGACCCAGTTAGATGAATGTTAGTGTGTTAAAAATGTGGAGCGAAAAACAGCCTGTGTGGACGTCTTGCTTTGATTTGTATCATTGATGTGCTGTGAAAATCAAGATTTGATCACTTCCAACCGGCTTGTCTTATGGTCAAACGCCGCAGACAAAAGCGTGCAGTGTGCAAGGTACTGACGATGGCTTATTACCTTTTGGACAGTTTCTTTACCTTGAAGTCCCTAGGAAGTCTAGCCGGGACTTTTCTAGATCGTTGGCCTTTGTTAATCGAACAAACGCTTTTTTTAGAAATGGTTATTTCTTAGATGAGCCGATCAGCTGAGTGTTTGAGAACAATATATTATTTTTCAAATTATTCAAATTTTATTATGGAATTGGAACGGAGAGTTGTCCCGCCGCCCGAGAACAATGTGAATAGCCGAATCTTTACAGGAATACAAAAACTTTCAGCCATCGGTGTCTTAAACCGATAACTTGCCCAACAAAATTAAAGGGTTCAAAATTTTTGGTACAGAACATTTTCACTGTTTTCAGCGATATAGGTAAGTTTTGAACATGCTGACAGCTCAAAGTGAGCGCCACGTAACCCAACAATTTAAAGGGTATAGGACGAACGTCGTTATCTTTTAAGCATTTTATTATCCACCAATCCTTTTTTACCTTTCTAAATTCTTCAGCTAGTATAAATTAGAAAACACTCCAATAGGGGCCCGTGGAATGCTTAGTGATGTAGCTGGAGTATTCAAACTAAATGGTCGTATTGTTCATCATTCTCTCAGAACAGCTTACCAGAAACGGCACGCCTTCTTTAAAGGCCATATTATGGTCTATTCCTTTAGGATATACGATCGGATAAACGACGGCCTTGTCAATGGACACATTGGCAATTTTGTTCAGGATCATCACGGAAATGGTTCGTGGTCCAGATTTAGATATTTCCATAACTCCACCAGGAGCAGCGTAAGCAAGAGTAATCTGTAATGTTCAGACGTTTTATGAATGAAACTAGTAGAACATTTCTATCTTATTTAAAAAAAAACTGGTAACATCGACAGAGACTGTTGATTTCGAGTGAATAGTTGAACAATTTGGTTTTGTCCTAGCTCTCATTCGAAAACTATGCGTCGATAAATTTTAAACAATTTAGAAGTCTTCTTTATAAAACTTGTTTGTACCAATGCTGCGATGAAGCAAAGACTGCGTCGATATATAAACTGTTCAACCACCTTGTCCAATTCGTACTCTCCAGTAATGAGATCCTAGTTGTCTACAGGTTACATACTTTTATCTTAAAGGAATAAAAAATAAAGAGTTTAGCATTGATCAATCCCTTAGGGATATGCTTATATTTGACTTTATCAAGAATTGCTAGAGGTGATTAAATACATATCGGTGAGAATCGAACACGCTATTACGCTTTCTAGGGTTAACGCGTTCACCACCACACCGTGCGGCTTTTTCGTTTCGCCTTCCTCTCAGTTAGTTTTCTGTTTATCGGTGCCATCAGATCAACTGGCTTTAATGGCGATTTTTACTCTCGAGATCAATCCCGTTGACAGCTGATTGCTAATGCCATTGGTAGATAGAAAACTGGCTGAGAGAAAGGCGAAGCGAAAGAGCCACATGGTGTGGTAGTGAATGAGCTAGCCCTGGAAAGAGTAATAACACTTGCGGTCCTGAGTTTTGCAAATATCACAGCATCATTGTGATTGTTTCTCAAATAATACTCTGCCGTGAAAAATTGTACTAGGCAGTAATTAAAGAGTTAACATTGCATATCTGGTCTCTACAATGACTCATGGTGGTCTTCCAATGTATCGAACCAGTGCTACTATCTTCGCAGACACATTTTGGATCCGATTCAGAGGGTATGGAAGGCTTGACGGAACACGGACGCGGGGATCGAGCCCATGTGTATTACAGGGCGCTTCCAACTACTGCGCTACACACACCCCATTGATATCACCTGTCACCTTTAGTCCCGCTGATCGTCGAGCGACTCGAGCGAGCGCCGGGAAATCTTCCGTTTTTCCCCGTCGCGTGCAAGAAGAGTCCAGTGGGTTTTGCTCGCTATAGGGACTTGTTGAGCATCATATCTTTCTTCTAAGCGGCTTTTCGTGAAGAACTCGGACCATCGGGTCGGTGGCCTTCCTTCAGTGCGTTTCACATCCCGAGGAATCCAGTTAATAACGGCTGTTGGCCATCGGTTGTCATTCAAGCGCATTACGTTTCCGGCCCAGCTTATCTTCGTTCGATTGCTTGTGTACGGAACGGCCTCTTTGATTTCTGATCGTTGACGCAGGTCGTAGTTTCGGATCCCATCCCTTATTTGTGCGAAACAGGATACTCCTAGCATCGTTCTTTCGACTGCACGTCCAGCAACGCTGAGTGATCTTTCATCCTGCTTATGCTGCGATTAGGTTTCTGACGCACACCTTAGAGGAGGAAGTACCGTTGAGCCGAAAAGGTGGACACGGAGTCGGCTGTTCTTTTTCTCCTCACTACATCCTTAATGCTCTTGAAACCTCTGCAAACCGCTCGTCGTTTTCTTCTGCTCAGCTCTGGAGCTAAACCGTTCATCATGTTGATTTCCTGACTCCATTGATATATATACATTTATTTATTTATTTATTTATTATTTACACGACCCAGTTTTAGTCATAGGGCCCCTAAACTTCGTTCATTGCATTTATAGTCTTGCATCCATCATCGACCAAGGCCTCACGATGTGCACGTGGTTTCTGGTGTCACCTAATGACTTTTATCCCTCATTACCAGCAATGAATTTTGGCAGGATTGATTGTCCTTGGAATCTTGGGATAGTGTTCTCATATTTTCACCACAGGCAGTCGCGTGTCTTTGCAGATCAGGTGGGTGGTGGGCCATCGGAAGAAATCCGGTACTAAATCGACGATAAGTACAGTTAATTTGCAGAATAAACAAAGGAATTTAACATAACCTTATCATCCTTAAACATTATTGTTGGTAGAAGTCGATGAAATCCACTATCTGATGCGTGGATAGATTTCCGTTTTATTTGAGCTAGATTATTTAGATAGAAATTGTCACCGGCAGAAATTCGCGAACCGAATCTGAAACAGCAGTTATTTTGATGCCTTTGCTTTTATTACCGAAAAATCTACACTTTTTGACTTCTTTTGTGTCGATTTCTCTAATAACCTCCTTCTACTGTATTTCATAAATACTCAACCCCCCAACGCTTTATCGCCTCATTGTGGCTGGGAGATGTTGCTAAGTATTGGGCTGCGATCTACAGCGAGGGATCATCCCCACGGCAGAGTCCAATGTTTCCATCAGGAAGCCCAGCTAAGAGCTAAGCCCCTAAACCAATGCCAGGATCCTCCACTGTCCTGCTATCGAAATAGTAGCATGGTGGCAAATCTCCTTTTGATCCACAAAGGCCGGCGACTGCCAGGCTGACCTCGGGAGTCCAGGAAACCACAATGGCTTGACCAGCAGAACCCCGAAAAAAGGAAGTTATGGTGTGGCTCGCACAACCAGTGAAGGTGGGCGATCCAAATAAAACACTCAAATGGCTTACGTTTGTCCAAGGGTACCAACATAAGCAATTGCACTTTGAGTTCTCCTATCCGCAATCACAAACATATTCGCAGCCCAGTTCTGAAAAGATACGTATATATATATATATATATATATATATATATATATACGTATCTTTTCAGAACTGGGCTGCGAATATGTTTGTGATTGCGGATNTATTCGCAGCCCAGTTCTGAAAAGATACGTATATATATATATATATATATATATATATATGTATATATATATACAAAAGGTAAAGGACAAAGCTATCGGCGTTGATCGAACCCTGAGGGATGCGCAATGCATCCGACTTCATTAATTATCGTTGGAGATGATTGAATGCATATCCGGCCATTACAATAACTTGCGGTGGCCCACCGTTGTATCGAGCCAGTGCTGCTATCCCTCAGACAAATCTGGTACCAATTTGCCGACCACGGAGTGGTGGAAGGCTTGGTGGGCCATCAGTGCGGAGATCCATTTCATGTGTGTGTCGCAGTGGCGCCTATACATGTAATATATATATATATATATATATATATACATATATATATGTTTCGGACTAACATCTTTTAAAGTTTCAAGCACAATGAAAAGCTCTCTATTCGTTATTCATAACTCACATTCGACAGCNAATATATATATATATATATATACATATATATATGTTTCGGACTAACATCTTTTAAAGTTTCAAGCACAATGAAAAGCTCTCTATTCGTTATTCATAACTCACATTCGACAGCTCAGCACTCGGTGTTAAATCCCCAAGTTCGAGAAGTTGCTTAGCAGCATATTCAACGTCTCCTTGCTTTCTCTTTTTTTCTTTCGGCCACCTGAAATTAATTTATTGTATAATGCCGCGTAATGTTTTATGTTTTATATAAATCAACTGTACAATCGAAAATAGTGGCAATTACGGTAATAGGGAAACGAAGACCGCTAACAACGGCAAGCGATTACTGCAACACATTCGCTCGTAACAGCGGGGCTCTGAGGAAGGCGAAATCGCCGAAACGTCAGCCATCGGCTAACAACGCTAACAACCGCGACGTCGACAACAACATCAACGACAACTATACCAACCTCGTATTGGCTCAACAAGATTAGTTCATAAGAATGTGTAAGTAGACATATCGATTATTTATGTCGAGGTTTATAAATACACTTATCGATTCAGGAATAAATCTTGCCAAAGTAAGAAGGTCTATGGTAGGAATTGTCGCTGTCCTGGAACTCGATAAGTCTCGCCACAGTACTACCATATAGATACGTACATTATATATAAAAAATAAAAAATGAAGCTGTCTGCGTTGGTCTATCCTTTAGGAATGCCTTCTGCATTCGACTTCATTAAGAATCGCTTGGAGGAGACTGAATGCATGTCTAGCCTTCACAATGACACGTGGTGGCCTATCGATGTATCGACCCAGTGGAACAATCCTTCCAAACAAGTCTGGTACTAGATTACCGACACCGGAGGTATGGAAAGCTTGGTAGATCAAGGGAGCAGGGATCGATAGCATGTGTATCCCAGTTTACAAAGCTTCTCATCCTGCCGGGTTCAGAAAATTGCTACCAGAGTTGGCTACGGTAAGACGGCTGCTTCAAATATGGGGCCTACCTGTTATAAAGATTTAGGCTTACT